ATTAAAAACATGACTTATGTTTTCTTCTGGGGCAGATGGGGCCATAAAAGCAGTTTTTGCTAAAAACTGTAACTCTTCACTTGGGCCTACAGGTAACTAAACCCAATAGGTAACTAAAAGCAAAACAATGCTCGACCTTCATTTTGTATCCTTTATTATTTAAAAACTTGGAATATAGGTATGTTAGTTCAAATAAGATGCATCAGCCTTAAATTTACCTATCCTATTTCTTCCCCCCTTTAACGCTGAGGACACCAAGAGTAACTAAAGTAGTTTTCAGAATTTACAGGAACATTCAATTGCCACCTTTTTCAGCGTCCAGTTCCAGACCCCCTCTCCGGAGCAACGCCTTGAAGCCTGTAGCCATTGTCCTAAACCTGTAGTCACCTGTGTCCCAGGAAAAACAGAGCCTGGTAGACAACCCCATGATGAGACCACCCTCCTAAGAAAAATCAATCACCTTGCTCTTCAAGTGACAGGATTCTTAGGAGCTACAAATCCAGGATTGAGATGATTGTTGATGGACAGAACTCCATACAGCACACTAACACATCCCAAATAGGGTAGCCTGACCACCTCTTCAGGCCTGTGGCCCATAGTCTTTCTCAAACTGAAGCCTTTTCCTATCTTCTCTTGGTTTCCTTTGTTATGAAACTGGCTTGATTTTCATCATAGCTGTGCTTCCCTTTATTTTTCTTACTTTTAAATTAAAGCTTTTCTCTATAAATTTGTTGTTTTTGTTTTTATTATCACTAATGCAAGGATCTATGCTAGCTGGTGACAAAAATACATTGACTTGTATGGAATGAATTATGGGCCCACAATTGCTTGATTATCTACATTAAGCCAGACTTTATTCTCTGTTGATCCTCCCAACTTATTTTTTAATAACAAAAGAGGAATGTGACAAAATGAGTATTTGTTTGTGTATTGTGTTTACAAACAAAACCTTGAATAGAAGAGTCTACATGGTCAACCATGATCATAACAATCTCTAGTGTTCTAGAATGGGGCACACTCATCCCTCAATAGGCTGAAGAGTCACTGTCCACTTTACTGTTCTGCTTAGTAAACCCATTAATTTCATTTTAATCTCTGCCTGCATCAGTGGTCATTACTCATTAACTTCTCTGACCAAACCAGTACGTCATTAAGGTTTGACTATGATAGTGAAGAACTTCTCTGAGTCAATGTAAGAGAATGAGGATGGGCCACAATTGAATATTGACCATGGCTGTGGCTTCACTAGAGTGTGCAGAGAAAAATCTGTTTAGAAAACACAGAGGAAGGAAATATTGCAAGTATTTTGTCATTGATAATTCATCAGATTGTTCTGCTCCTCTGATCTGTACCTTTGTGTTGTGACTGAAGGGCATAAACTGTTGATACATTTCTGAGAAAATGATGAAGATTGAGAGGTGCTTTTTTACCTTCATCTATTATTGTAATGCTCTGAAATTCTATCAAACTAATCCCATTATGTGACGAATAGAGGTTCATGGTTAGTGAACAAAATACAAGGATCTGTGAAATGAAGACATGTTAATGAAAGTCCTGGTGGGAAGAAAGGTGGAAAGGACTATTCAGATTGGCCAGTGACAACAAGGAAACAGTACAGACATGCTAGGTATGGAGGTTAGCATTATCCAGGGAGGGCGCCAATGACAGGTTCTGAAAATGGACAGGATCAAAAACCAAGCAGGTTGGATAAAGATAGATTACTTAACCATTTTAAATGAGCTTGCTTTACCTGTTATACAAAAAAAAAAATCAGAGGGAGTAGTGGTTGGGAATGTTACAATATTCATTAAATTGTAACAGTGCCAGAAAGGTAATTAATTTAAAGCCAAAACAATTTTATCACTGAATTTATATTAATTAACTTTTTTTTATCTGCATGAATAGAGAAAGGCTCACACTTGGTTCCAAACATTGTGTCTGAGATAAGGAAGGAGAATTAACCCTCAAGGGTAGGTGTGTGGTAAAGTAAGCTCTTTGTCAAGAAAGCAAAATGAACATTAAATGAGGAGGCTTAAATTGCTCTTCTCAATGGCATGTTTTGACTTGTGGCTCTAGTAAACTCCCCAAATGCTTTGAGGTCTTTACTGTTTGTCAAATCATGGAAAATTTTAAGATTTCACTTAGCCAGTAATGTAGCCTTGAGATTAAAGCAGTGCCCATGATCCCTGAAGAGACTAGCTAATTTACCTGGTTTATTTACCGCATAGGATGTTACTTTCTGCTTGGTTAATAAACTTGGAGAGAGAGGTTTATTAGTAGATAAATTCATGGAAGAAAATGATAATCTAATGGCTAAGACTTAAGGAGACTTATATCAGGCTGTTTGAGTGTGAATTCCAGTTTTGCTGATGCTTACTGTGTAAACTGGGTCAATATACTTCAATTCTCCTGCTTTATTTATTGAGGAGATTACAGAATCTACTTCCTAGGGTTTTATGAGGATTAAACATGATAATGCATGCCCAGTGTTTAATATGATATCAGGATATTATAGTTTGGATGCTGAGAGCCTCCCAAGGGTTCATGTGCTAATGGATTGATCTCCATCTAGGGTAGGGCTACTGGGAGACAATGGAGTCTTTAAGAGGTGGGAACTCATGGGGTCCTTAAGTCACTGGGGACCTGCTCTTGCCAGGTATTCTGTAGCCCTGTTGGTCCTCTCTTCTGCTTCCTATCTCATGATGTAAGTGGTTCACTGTGCCACATGTTTTTGCTGTGATTTTCTGCCCTTACAAGAGGTCCAAGGCCACAAGTTGCCTGATCTTGGACCAGAACTTTCAAAATATGAATCCAAAATAAACTTTTCTCTTTAGAACTTAATTGTCTCAAGTATTTCATTATAGCAATAGAATGTCATCTAACAAACAGGTAAACAGTTAAGGACCCCAAATATGTTAATTGTTATTATAATTTTTTGTTTGTTTTATTTAGAGACAATGTCTCACTAAGAGACCTCAAAGGCAGGTCACTCCTGCTTCAGCCTCCCAGGTAGCTAGAATTGCTGTCCTGGGCATATATTCAAATATATTAATTGTATAAAAGGAAGTAGCATGGTATAAAAGGAAGTAGCATTACATCTTCTTATTCTTGCTTCCTGTAAGGAAATGCTCCTAGAAAATCCTAAATTAATCTAATCCTGAGGATTTCCAAACTTCCTAAGAATGTAACCATTACTTTAATGATAAAAAGACAAGGGGCTGTCTGTATAGCCTTCTTGGTTCCCCAAACTTTGCTGGCCCTATTACCTTTATAGAAAGAACCTATGGAATTGTCCCTTGAGCACCATCTCAGTCTTTTGTACATTTAAATTTTAAAGAAAATATTAAATATTTCTTGTTAATTTTGCAATTATTTATATAATTTTCAAATTATACTTCTCTTTTAAAAGATTATAAATTTACCTTTGACACTTTGCCTTTAGGGTTTAAGCCTTCAAGAACGTAAAATTTGGCCCTCTCTAAAGCATATATCATTGTCAAGGATTGTTCATGCTTTCACCTTTTAATATATCTTTAGAATTGAAATTTAATTTACAAGTCAATGTCATATTAGGAAAAATAACAAGAATATCCAGAATGACTCATAGAATTAGTTTTGTAATAGCTTTAAGGATGACATTTTGACTAAGCAACCTAGAAAATCAGATGTTAGTCTATTTGTTCAGAACTCCTGAAGTAAGAGATTTCCACGTCTACCTAGTGGCAGCTTTACAGTGGTTTGTAGGACCACCTGACATTGAACCCTAGAGGAATAAGAAGAAGGTTGAGAATCAGACACTGATTTGGTCACAGGTCCCTCTACATGCCATTCACCAAATACTACTGGAGCTGGGAGAGTAGGGTGAGAGGTAGTGATTCCTACTCTGAAATCAACAAACTGAAAGCTACTGAGTAATTTAAGGAGCCTTTCCCATTTTTTTTTTGCATGGATTATTTAGATTTACTGCCAGTGTCAATCAGAACTTAAACTTCATAATTTCACTTAAACTCTTTAGGAACCATCAGTTCCTCTTAAACTCTTAAAATTCTAAGTCTAGGTTTTTACAAAAATTTCTGTCAGAAGTTTATAGTTACTACTGAGGAATAAGATATCGGCTGATATTAAATCACATTATTTTGAATGAAACATAGCTTTGAATTGTTTGTATGGCACCAGTCCAAAAGTCTTTGGTGTGGCAAAAATGATCAGTTATCCAATGAAATCCATTTGTTTTTACGCACGTAGATAGAATATATTTCCCAGACTTTTATATAGTGAACCATAAGATCAAGTTCTATATTGGAATGTGAACAAAAGTGAAGTTTTCTATTACTGGGCTGGGAGTTTTGAAAGATCAGCTCTTCCTGTCCCATGTTCTTTTCCTCTTTCTACTAAAGAGAAAGGAATCTACCAGTTCCAGAGCAACCTTGTTGAAGAGGCAGACCTGTTAGCAATGTTTTCAGACTGCATGCAGAAGAGAAATCCTGCAAGAAGGAATTTACCCTAGGCTGATATATGATGGAGGAATGAACTCATACCACATTTAAACTGTGACATGAAGGGTGTCTTTATTGAAGCAGTTTAGCATATTCAGACTACTATGTATGTATTTTTAAAAATTACACTCTCTTATAAAATCACGTGGAAATAGAGATAGCTTAACTTTAGTTCTTTTTGCTTTGTCAAAGATGTTTTCACCTGCATTATTGTTTAGGGTGTCACAATGATCTTTGAAAACCAGTAACTCAAAAAAATATATCTGCATTTTGTAAAACTGTACTGCAGTAAGATAACTTAAAATGATGCAACTTCAAATAAGTATATAGTTCAAATTTGTATTAATATGCAATAGTGAATTCCATAGACTCATAAAAAACAAAAAATGAAACAATGCTTCAATTTCAAACCTCAGTTAATGATAAATATACTTAAAAAGACTTACTTTTGTCATCCAAATTACCAATAAGAAATGTTACTGTTAACACATTAATTGTCCTTACCTGCTAAAGATGACATATTAATAATGACGCCACCTTCACCTCCATGTTGCTTACTCATGTAATCCAAACCAAGATAGGTTCCACTGATAACAGAAACCTAATCCGGAGGCAGAAATGGGAAAAACAATATAACCACTAGCTTTGATCATGTATTTAAATATTAAACTTATTCATGCTATGTCAGATACCTAGAGAGATTTCTGCAAGTTTAATCAGTGAAAAAGTTTGAAATATTTAAAAAAAATATTGTAAAAGTTACTCATTGTTCCTGGATTTTCTTTTGTTTGCCTAAGAGTTGTGTAGCTTGTCATATCTTTATAATACTTTACCTAGTTTTCCAATATGAAACGTTATGATAAAGGCTGTATTTTAATATATTTTGCCATTTTAACTTAATTCTCGGAATCTTTAAGAATTCCATGCATTCTTTTTTCTTTTTTTAAATATAGGATGCAAATTTTATTTACATGGTCTCATTTTAAAATATTCCACATTTGTCTGCACTACTTAATTCTCTGAGATTTTGGAATATAGAACAGCAGATATCCTTCATTTTCTACACAATTTTTATTTTCTCCTCTCTTCTTTCCAATAAAATTTCACCTTTGTTTTTCTCTCTGCATCTTTTCCATGTAACAGAGTAGAAGGTGATCTTCCACTTCAGTGTAGACACTGATTGACCTAATTCAGTCCCAGAAATCCCATTCTCCTCCACGGTGGCTGGGTCAGAAACCAGTGAATGACCCAGTTCTGACTGGTGAGACATGAGGGGCAGTCAGCTGGGTGTGAGGAATGGGGTGCTGCTGAGAAATTTATTTGTTATTCTTAAGAAAAGTGGAAAGAGATGGTTATATGTGCAACGACTGAAATGGACTGAAATGAGCTTTGCTAGCATCATGAAGATGAAACCAACAGAAAAAGATGGCAGGTGGGTGACATGAAAAGACACTCAGTCCTACTGATATCACTGACTTGCACTGTCATATAATCCTGAACTCTTGTATGAAATCACTTAACTATATTATTTTGAGTGGAGATTTTCTGCTACTCAGACATACGGTTTTCAGTAATGTGCTACTTAATTTTTATTAATCACTGCTTACTGCTATCCTTAGAACTAGTTTATTGTTTTGCTACTTCTCATGTATGAATGAGCTCTTTGGTGCTTTTATTCTAACATTTAAGAATTCACTACTGTGCAAAATGACCTACCTGAGTAGGGTAAAACTGGTGTTTGAAACCTTATTTTTCCTTTTATATTCAAGAATTCCTCTCTCTTCCAACTCAGACTTTTTAAAAGTGAAAAGTTCCCTTTTGATTTCTTAATTCTTCCTTTTTTGCATGATGTATATTCAAAGAAAATAATTTACTAGCACTGAGTCTGACACTGAGGGCGCACACTGGTATTTACCTTCTTTTTATTTAAAAAGGTTTTTTTGGGGGAGGGTTACTTGATAACTGTTCAGAAACGCCTCTCCTTCCTAATAGTGGCTCTGGAACGACAACAACCAAAAAAAGTATATTGAAGGATCTATTCATTTAAGCTGTGTGTCAGTTTAATATTAAGTAGGCTTATGGAGAATGGATAACATCTTCACATGATTACCTTTTTAAAAACGTAAACACTGTTTACTAAGAAGAAAAAATACAGATGGCTGAAACGACTGCAGTCAGGTATATTCTGTTCATTTCTGCCCAAGCCTTCAGCGTGTCTGAACAAAGTTCCCGTTTGCCGCGCTGACACCATGCTTCCAGTCTCAAACACTTACAGTGTCACTGACGCCCAGCCTTTTCATTTTCAGGGTCTATAACATGCAGCCAAATAGAAAACTGGGGAAGTGTGAAGTTTGATTTTTCTTTGGAGTAAGGTTTATGTGTAGGTTTTTGGTGGAGGTCAACAATATATTATTTTCTTATTCACTCTCAATTTAAGAATTGAATGATTTTTCAAGTGAAAGAGTTCGTGGAATAAATCCACGTGACAGGTCTGATGCTTTGGTTTTACATATATTCTATGTTTCATCTTTTCTCCTTTTAACATTTTTCCTTTTGCCAGATCTCCATTGTTAGAAAACCAGAGAATAAATATTTTCTGTTAAGAGATTTTTTTGTGTCCTTAAGGAATGTTTATATATCTTAAAGACTGGGTGATTATATCATACATCAAAAAAGAAAAAATTATAGACATTTCTAGATACAAACACAAAATAATTTGAATCTATATTATTGTTTCAGCTTACTTCATGAAGATAGTTAAAATTCTGTACTGTAGTTGGTTAAAAAAATCCTATGTCTAAAATCATGTGTTTAAAGAATAAAGCAATTCTTCAATTATTGATGAAATAATCAAATTAACACATACTTAATATTTTTGGTTACAAAGAGATAACATTTATGTGTAATTCTGAAGTGGTAATTGTGTTGTATTCCAAATATTAAATTATTTTAAAAACTAATTATAGCATTCTTTGACAAAACCACACTCAAATTTCCTGTAGGCTGAGAATAATTCTCTAGTAACAAAGATAAAAGGACAAATGGTAATAGGCTACTTGTCTAACTATCTACTCATTAGGCATTAAGTCTTCCTACAAAATATGTGCATACATTGACACAATTTCTTTTTCACTAATGACATTTTCGATCTGACACTTCTCCATTTCCTCTATCTTGTCTCCCTTTACTTTGTGGCTCTTTTTGTTTTCTGTTTTTTTCATTGTCCTGTAATAAAAATCATTCTGAGAGTTAAATTAAGGAACTTCACCTTTTGGGTCCTTGTGTTTTCTTCAGTCCAGTTATCAAACACTATTAATAAAGATATCATTTTTTCTTAAACCCTTTTTCATCCTTTCTTTTTTTATATTGAAAAGTTTTTACTTTTTTTTTGTTGTAGTGCTAAATATAATTTTCTTTCCCTTGGTGGAATTACTTATAATCTGGGATATACTTTCTTGTATAGTTCAACTAGATCTGTCAATATTGTAAAGTAGCAATGGAGGCAAACAGTTACTAATTTAATTTGCAATCAACATCTTTGAAAGTCAAAAGTAAGCACATTTAGGAATAATATCTATCTATTCCCCTAAGTCCTTATTAGAGGTCAAGTAGGGCAGAGGAACTGATATTAAAATGAGACAGTGAGTGGGCCAGAGATTCAGCTCAGTGGTTCTCCAGCCTGCCTCGCAAGCACAAGGTCCTAAGTTAGATCCCTGGTACAAAAGAGAGAGAGAGAGAGAGAGAGAGAGAGAGAGAGAGAGAGAGAGAGAGAGAGAAAATGTAGGCTCTGATACCTGGAAAGAAAATGCAATTGCACTATACTACGGTAGATGTTTCACATTAAACTCAACAGTTTTCTGAGGCAGGAAGTTCATCCTTCCCCTTTTCCAAACTGGGAAACTCAATGTCAAAGAAAAAAAGTAATAGTCCACAAATTGTAGATTCTGGACTACACTTTAGTTTTGGCTAATTCTAAGTCTACTCTTCTTATTGAGCAAAATTTTAACCAATTAATACATTTCTGAAAAACTTTACCAGCAATAGCTATCTATGTTGTTTAATTTTTATTTAATTATACTAAAGAATTAAACATATGTTCGTTGTATGCCCAAATTAGATTATAGTTCTTGCCTGAATAGGGCTATTGCAACTTCAAAAAGTTAAAAGTAAGAAAAGTATATTATATATTGCCTAGTCAATATCCAAAGTAAAGTAAATCTATTTCTGCTCAGTTGCCAGAGTGATCTTCAATAGATTATAAAGACTCAGTCTTTCCTGGACATTCCTTATGACCTCTGAGCAGCTATAAATAACAGTGCTGTTATTGGCTTCAGAGAAAAGAGGAAGTATAAAATGGTGTAGTGAAACAAAAAACTGGGAAAGGTTTGGTGTATGTTATGGCTTGTATTTAGATGTCCCCTCAAAGCCCCATGCGGTAGGTCGTAGGTGGGGCTTTTAAGAGGTGGCTGGATCTAGAGTGTGTGATGTTGGAATTGATTCATGGTGCAAGGCTAGGCTCAAGGCCACTAGGATTAAGGGTGTGAGTGCTACCTGTCCTAAGTAGCCTGGATAAGATAAAAGGGACAGGAAGACACTGTTAGGGTCCCTTGTTGCTCTGTGCTGTCTTCTGCCTGCAATGAACTATACATTTCTCTATTACACCCCGCTGCTTTGTGCCACCCTGCCATGGAGACAGTCAACTACAGACTGAAACCTCTATAAACTGTGAGCTAAATAAACCTTTCCTCCTTTAACTTTGAGTGTTGAGTATTTTGTCTCAGCAATGAGAGAAAAGTAACTAAGAAGTGTATCTTGTGTGGGAAGAGTGATGAGATCAGCAATGTGAAGAATGAGGAATCAGCAAGTTTGGTAAACTATGAACGTGGAAGGACAGCTGATACTGTTTGGCAGCACTGATCTATTAGGAAATCACTTAAACATCATGCTAAAATAAAGAAATGGATACGCATGTGTGCAAAATATCATATAGTGGCATTTTGTTCAATAAACAAAAATCTTCTCTATTAGAACATAGAACAATAGTTTCCTGCCTTGAAGAAGCATATGCCACTATAAATCAACACATGCACACACACAATAAAGTTGTGAATTGATAAGTTCTATGAGAATATTAGAAATATGTTGTATAAGATTTCAGAACAGGGAGAGAGTGATTCTGGGGGTATAGGAGCTCAGTGGTAGAGTACATGTGGCTCTGGGTTCAATCCCAGGCACCGAAAGAGGGAGGGAGGGAGGGAGATGGATGTGGTGAAGTCCTTATACTCAATGTTTACTCTTGGACATGGGCAATAATACAGAATAAACATGGAACTACATAAGAACAAAGAACCATCCAGAGCAAAGTCTAAAACAAATAAACAAACAAAAAGTTATACAAGCCACATACAAACATTAGTATTACTCTAACAGAGATAATGAAGTTGGAAAAAGAAAGATTAGTCCAATTCTAATTTGCTTTTGCAGAAGGTTGTAAGTAGCAAGAAAAGTAACACATTTTTAAGCTACAAAGGTCATATCTTGTACTCTATGTAAAAATAAGCAAAAATTGTCAATCTTTGAAATTAAGCCAAGAAGTGATCT